AAAAAAAATTTTGACTTAAAAAAGGAAATTGAAATTTTGCGTAGTAGATGTTGCAATCATACTGTTACTTCAGCACTAGATCAACCTAACTTGGATATTGTACTGGAATTAAAAGAACGTGAATCTAAGTGTCGAAGCATTATTATTTTCAATATTAATGAACAGGCTGACGATAAACATTTTATTAATAATATATTTTCTAATTTAAATTTGGATTTTGCTTTTAAATCTATGTCTCTTGGGCAAACTATCCAGTAAACCGAGGCCTATTCGTGTTGAACTTAATTCAGCCGATAACGTCCTGAAAACTCTTAAAGTCAAACAAAATCTATATCAAAAATCTGATTTTAAAAATCTTTAGATTGCTACTGATCTCACACAATATCAAAGACAAATATTAGTATTATTAAAAAAATTAACGAAATCAGGCGATAAAAATTGGTACATCCGCTACACTTACAGCTCTCCATACTTAGTCCAAAAAAAAAAATGATTGTCGCTCAAGTACTTATCATCAATCAAATTTATCAAAGCAAGTTATCGTTAATAATAATCAAAATTGTACGAACTCAAACTTATTATCAGGTTATTATCAAAATATACGTGGCCTAAAACAAAGTTTTCTTGTATCCATCTAAATATGCCTAGTTTATTACATTTTGATTATTTTATACTTACGGAAACTTGGTTAACTCCTGATATAAATGATACTGAACTATGTATGTTTGATTATAATATTTACAGGTTAGATCGAAATCCAATTAATAGTTCTACTATTAAAGGTGGTGGGGTTTTGATTGCAGTCCACAGACGTTTCCACTCTATCTTACTCATATCTACTAATATAAATTGCGAACAAATCTCTGTAATGGTTAATATTAATAATACTAAAGTATTACTACATTCATGTTATATTCCACCTAATAGTTCTGTGATAGTTTTTAAAAATCATTGTGTTTCCCTCGAAATATTATCCTTAAATTATCCGGATTCTTTATTTTTAATAGCAGGTGATTTTAATTTACCTGGTACTCATTGTGAAAATTCTGATCTACATGCTAACATTAAAGGTCTAAAAAATAACAAATCCGAAGTGCTCGAAGAGTTAATTATGTTCCTACAACTATTTCAATATAATTCCACTCAAAATCACTATTTTAATATCCTTGACCTAGTCCTATCCAACAGTAAAGATATAGCTGTATCTAAAACGTTATTTCCGTTAGTAAAAGTCGATATAGCTCATCCTCAACTTCAGATAATCGTTCCAAGGCTAAACTCATCTAAAAATTTAATTAAATTAAATCATGAATTTAATTTTTCTAAAGGTAATTATAGTGCATTAAATGAGTACCTGTGTTTCATAAACTGGAATTCTATTTTTCATAACCAACCAAATATATCCTCAGCAGTTAATATATTTTATAATATTGTTTCAAATTCTATTAAATTATTTATTACTAAGATCCATACTAGGAATAATACGTTTTCAAAATGGTATAGTACTCAACTTAAAAACATGATTTTTAAAAAAAAAAAAGACTCTATAAATTGTTTAAATGTACTTATAACCAAAATTACTATACGGAATTTTCAAAACTTAGGGCTTTATGTAAAATTAGATCTAAATTTGATTATAATTCATATATTAATTATATTCAATCTCGTTTTTCGTAAAACCCCAAGTCATTTTGGAATTATAAAAAAAATTTAAAGATACATAATAATATTCCATCTTACATGGATTCGACCCCCATAGCTCGTATTTTTTTGAATATAATTGATTTATTTAAAAAATTTAATGTATAAATTATTAAGAATATAAATGACTAGTTTATTATTATAATATGTTATCATTATAACAGGAACATGAGCTATAGGTAATGGAATGTAAATTATTTTTAAGTTTGTGTTGAAGAAAAATTAGTTTTACCCCCTCCCCTCCCCCATGGCTTCAACTCAAATACGCCCTTGGTCAAAGGTCCTTCAAGTTTGAAAATATCAGTAAAATTATAATTGTACAGTGTAATCCTGATACTTAAAGTGCTTGATCTATGTACAATTTAACTTTAGTACATCGAAAACTAATTAATATGTTTTTTCATTTTTTTAATATTTATAAACTGTGTTTTTTGTAATAAAGTATTTTAAATACCCATTCAAAAAAAGTATATACATTTTTTTAATTAATATTAACTATTTTTTTTTGCATATATTTATTGAAAAAATAGGTTTATTTAATAAATTTTATGGCATATAATTACATATTTTGACATTTTATAATGCATATCTTTATGAAATGTTGGTCATTAACATCCGAACTCTATTGATTAGTGATTACTGAATGTGTGTACGGATTATCCGATATCAAAGCGTTAGTATTTAGACAACTATTTATAAATGTGAAAAGTACAATGTTATGTCTTTATTGTTATTTATCTAACTTGTTAACGGCATTTTACTTATTCCTTACATTACTGGTTACTGCAATAAGTGCTGAAAGGACATTCTCAAAACTTAAACAAATTAAAAATTATCTAAGAAGCACCGTGTCTTAAATGTTACTTAGTGGTTTTACGGTGATTTCGATAGAAAACGAGCGTGCTAAAAATTGAATTAGTCGTTGTTGGTGTAGACATTTGCTCAAGATCGTAACAGAAAAAAAAAACATTTTCATTGTATTTTCATTTTGATTTGTCGTAATTACAAAATTATTATTACATTAATTTAAATTACAGATATAATAGGACCTTCAAAAAAATTGTATCCCTAGGTCTCAATGATTGTAGTAATGCCAGAAATGGAATCTATATGTGGTTTATATATTATTAACATTTCAAAATGGTTAAATTGGTTAGTAGTTAATGGACGTACAAACATTTTTTCCGATTTTTATGAATCCATACAACTATTTTGTACCATTACAAGTTGCTCTGATGAAGGACCATTCTCATAATTGACTATTAACAGATTATATATATATATATATATATATATTTTTTAATATTAATGCCTATATTGTATAAAATGGAAGGAGATAGTGGTGGCAGCGATGGATCTTTATGGTCCGTTAAACTCTTAAGAAGAAGAATGTTATATAAAATATTATATTTATTCATCTATATAATTTTGAATTGTACATTGATATTCGATAATAATGTACACCCGTAAGTAGGTATATATTTTTCAACCATTTATTATCTAATTATTTTTTTTATAATTTAAACATTTTAATAAATGTGTGTCGTGCAGTCTTCAAAAATAAAATTGACTAGGTGACGAAATATATTTATATTACTGGGTGATATTTGTGTTGCCTAGGTTACTAGTTTAAAAATTATAATAAAGTGTAATTTATATAATTTATAACTAATTATTTAAAACATATTTAAGTATTAACCGTATCCAATGGTTTCAGTCAAAAATTCTTTTTATTATTTTTTATCTCTTATTACGTCTCCAATAAGCCTCTACACTCCAATTTAAAAATTTATACAGTCATTAACTAGTCAAACTTCATTATAAGCGCTTCAATAACCGATTAAACCATTATTCCAAGCCATTTATTTCTCAACTTGCATCAATAACCATTACAGGTAATTCTCAAAAAGACTCAAAATAGAGTGGTGTCATGACCTACCCATATGAATATAATAACAAATAAAAAAATAATTAAAACAAAATATGTAAATGTAAACGTGTGATATAATAATAATCTTGTTGAAGTACCTCTATTGGGAGGTTCCTTCACTTATAATGTTATGTGCATAAATAATATTTTATCTATTAAGCTGTTCTAACTGTAACAGATTGTTTGAAAAATAAAAATTATGCAAAAAAAAAAAAAAATGGGTTTAGAATAAAATTACCAAAACATCAGATTAAGGTAAAAATATTTAT